GGATTGGACTGAGAAGAAGGGTTTTTTTAGATTAACCTTCTACTTCTATTTAATTTTAGGTGTTATCATAGATATAATTTTAGTTTTAATTCTAGCTTAGTTTGTATTCAAGTTAAGTTTTAGATTAATATGTTAAATCCAATATCTAATATTTATATTATTTATATAAAATTATAGGTTGTTGATTTATTAAGAAAATTGCCATTACCTCATTCAGTCTGAATTTGTTTCAGTAATTAGAGATATTTAGTGTTGGTTAGGGAGCATTTTTGCTTGGCTTATTGCTACATATTGATTGGGCCATACATTTACAGGAACCAATACAATAAATATATACAGTAAATATCCATAAGTTATTTGACAATTGTTTTTAAAAATTGATTTATGAAATCCTGTCATTATCAGAGTCGTTCCTGCATATACACCAAGCTCTAATTTGATATGTAATGTGGTGACAAATCCATTTTAATAGATTTTTGCCAGCTTATTAACTCTACTATATTGAAAGTTGTAACTCAATTGTCGTTTATTTATAAGGTCGGAGAAGTTGGGAGAAGAATGTAAAAAAAGTATTTTGAAACGTTTGATCTGCAAAAACCATATGCTTTTATGCCACGAAGAAGGCAAACATTATTTTCGTTTAGTTTAATTTCAATTTTTATTTTTGTTTTGAACAGTATCTTTGGCTCACGAAGTGCAAAGGTCGATTTGTATTTGTACATTCTATTTTATTCTCGTTATATTAAAACACCTAGAACGTGACTCACATACTACATACTAGCTATGTAAGCCATTCACACCACGTTCTCTGTCTATGGTTCGATAATCTTTCTGGAAATAGTTTCGCTCGAGTCTATCGACTTGAGCACGTCCTCGTCTCGCCAGCGGGTTCATTTAGGCTGTTTATTTGGTATAAATATGAATATCAAATAACTATACATGGTGGCACTACAGGGTATCGCAAGACTGTTGGTTTCTTTTATACCCCATAAGAGTTTATTGTATCGAAAAAATTTAAATGCAAAAGTTGTTTGTATTGATGTGCTGTGCAATGAAAATAGTTGTTTATTATACAAGGTATTTTGTAAGAAACTTACATGGAACACTCGATATATTATTCACTTTTGGGCTTCTGAAGGAAAAAGATAACACTTGGAGTGGGAGCGGGAGGGAATTAAGAACAAGGAAGTATCTAAGTAAAGGATGAAGCAAGAATGAAATTTTTAACTTATTTTTTAAGAATAGCATCAAAGAAAAGTCTATTAAGGAGACATATTGATTAATCATATTTACAATTGGGTACGACTAGGACCTATTCAAAAGCTTTTTTCCTTGCTGTGGCACAATAAGAAGCCCCCTTTCACGGAGATGCAAATGGTGGACATCGGTCCGAAATCTATTTTTGTCATATAGATAGGGCGGTATCCCACATCGAATAGCAGGACGTGAAGTTTAACATATTCATCAATACGAATCAATACGAAGTCTAACTCCATATATCATAAACTCTGTAGGTTTTTTTTATTTTAGCCGGGGGTGTGACTTTTGTTTGTTTTTGTGTTACAGGAAAATATGTTGGCAAAAGACATTCAATTCATTATGTTGATTTTATTACCTTCGGTTCCCGCTGCCTTAGTTTTAATAGTGTTAATTATATTAATGACAGGATACCGTAAATGGGCATTTTAATGAAACACGTAATTATTCGATCGTAAAGTTTAGAGATCCTTTATTCTTGAACGACTCAACGTACCTCACTATGCCCCTCTGTTAATGGTACCGTCTTGCCCAACCAAAACAATAATTCTCGTCTCTTATATTATTAACTTTCTTTCACTCGACAACAAGTCATGCAACCATCCAAATATCCAGCCCATTTTATTTTATGCAGATATGAGAATATCCTCCAGAATTTTATTTTATGCACATATCAAAATATCCACATTTTATTGTATGCAACAGTACTGCCCATTCCAGCGGAGCGCAACGGATCGAGTGCTTAATAAGCGGGTGACTTAAAAAGTTGCATACTATCCTTTTTCTATGACCGTTAGTTTTTCGGTACATTTTTGCAAAAAAATACGAATACATTCACTGACATGACCGTCAGAATTGACAAATGCCAAAATTCAAGCGCGCGGTAATATTTCCGAAAACCTTCCATTGCTCCCAAACTCGTGCGGTAATATTCCGGAAATGGATCGGAGGTGGCTCGTATCGGTGGGAAGTGAAAATGAGGTGATAAAATTACACTTTTCTCGCGCTCAATCGGTGTATAGTTAGGTATTTTACAAAAGGGAGTAGAAAAACAGGTTTTATTCCATTCCATAATTCCATATTTATCGCTAGCAGTTCATTTTCCGGATCAAAGGTAACAAGTGAAATTAAATTATGTACTACGTACAACAACCTTACCTTGTATTTCGGTTCATAATTTAATCTCTTTTTGCGACACTGAAGATGTTTGTTTAACATGAATGGACGTTCTTTTTTTTAGAAAATGCTCATGCATATTAAAACGGTTATTTACATTAATGCGGTCGTTAATTTCATCAACGGAGCTTTTTCGAATACGAGAAGTTTCGTTTACCGGAAATCATTTATATAAGAAAAACAATTTTTTTTTCTTCTTTTAAAAGTCTTTAAAGTCTTTAAGTCTTTTTAAGTTTAATTAAAACTGAAACTAACCAAAACTATAAATATTTCTTTAATACACAGGAAAAAATGGATATAATTAACTTGCTTTAATTCCTTTTCTGTTGGTGATCCGGTCGACATTTTTTTTCATTTTAGCAACCTAAATCGGATTGAGAACGAAACAAAAAGTTGAGGAACAAATCGAATAAAGGTTTAAAAATTTTTGAAAAATCTACTTTTTACGTTTTCTACAATTTAATTTTTGTACCCTATATTAATTTATACCCCAAGTGTCCCCTCAATATATGACACCAGAAAGAATCCAAAATTAAATGCTTAAGGCCCCTTATAAGAAAAAATTGTAATTATTTTAGAGCCTCCAAATGTCATTTTTGGAATAAAATTGAAGATTTGTCGGAAACGATTAAACTTGGGTATAGGACATGAAATGTATCTGGATTTTTTCCTAGAATCTAAAAAATCTATAATATACAGGCTAATCTATATTAAAAAGAGAAATCTGGTATTTATCTCAGATGAATGGAACACCCTGTATATATGAACCATTAAAAATTAAAAAATCTAGTTCCCGAGTTAAGAGGATTCAGATATTCTATATTATCTCCGTCGATATTTCCACTCTATCAAACCTCACACATTTTCGTCTTTTTCATTAAATTAAAACACTGACTATGCTCTTTGTTGTTCTGACTGAACTGCTATTATGTCTACTGCTATGGTTATTATGTCTACAACTTCCTGAATAATTTAAAATGTTTCATTTTGAGTCCAACTTTGCCGCATTAGAGTAACGCAAACAAAGATGTAAATAGTTGGAAAATAATTTTATTTTCAGTGCTTGGTTGCTCTAGTCTGGAAACAAAAAATTAAACTAACAGTGCCTAGTTGACTAGTGCTAAGTTTTACAATTCTTGTTGTAACAGCTATTCTTTTTTATAAAAAATAATATTCTTTATCACTCTATCACTTGAACTGTTGAATCATTTGCATATTATATGACCAGGATTATTTATACCTATATTAGATCTGTTCTGAGTTAGACATAAACTTCCGTTCCCACACAATTCCAGTTTAATTTCTTCACAATTCGTTGTTTTTGGAAAAGGCATTCCATTCTAGTTTACGTATTTAAACCTGTTAGCAACTAGCACCCTCTACATATTAGCTGAAAGAATATGTTTTCAAATCATCAGAAACAACAATTTATTTTTTTTAAATTTTTATTTATTTATAGTTATTTCGAGTAAATCACTCTTTCAAAAACAGTTCATTAAGAATAAGTAGACTGTGGATTAGAAATGAAGATATTCACATTGACATTTGCGTTCACATTCATAGCTTACCGTCATGTCAAAACCGAAAAAAACTTCAATTGAATAATATGTCATATGCCAATATGATAAATAATAAAAACTTGCTTTATTTACAATTTGTGAAATAAATTTTAATACTTTTTTAATAATAAACGGTTTTTTGCTAATGCATATTGGTCTCAATATGATTGTTTCCACGAGTTTAATCTAGTGACAAACGTCAAAATTCTTTATTTCCGATCTACCAAAAAGATCCAAATAATCAAACTAACTATAATTTTATTTTACACTACACTACACTTCTATTATCTTTGGCTATATTAAATTCAGAAATCATACCCATTTAAAAATGTCTAATAATTTTTTTTGTGAATCTATTAAACACCGAAAGCTGTGAAGATAACTTATTAATTTATTATTATTATTAATTAATTGATTACTTGAATGAATTGTTTTGTATGCAGCTTTTTGGGAACGACAAACTGAAAACAATAAATTGAATTTAAATACCGAATTTTCGACAACCAAACAGGAATACATTCTATAGATTATTCCGGGTGTTCATGAAACTGCTAGTCAAGCGATAATTCTATCTTCACTTTTTGAAAAACACTTCAAACCCAAATATTTCGAACACGAGAAACAAAGAACATTTTCAACTTCAAAATGATTGCATTTTTTTTAAACAAAAATCAGAATACATATTCATTCAAAAAATCATGAGAAAATGGAGAAAAAGACATTCAGCGGCTCAACAATTCAATATTCATTTCGTCTTTTCGCGCCAATTTTTTTTCATCTTATTCTCATTCTCTTATTTATTACTAGGCGGCCTAAGGTTGCCTGTGGCATATATCTCGTCCAGTAACATCGGTTGTATAAGTAAATATTGGCACCATGGAGCACGAAATACGTTTATAATTTTCAGAAGAATTTGAAAATTATTTTCAACGAACATATGCGGCGTACTGCGTGGACTGCGTATGTTAAATTTGTATATGAAAATATTAACATACGCCATTATTACAGGCTTTGAAGAAGAAGAGCGACAACAGCGAATCGGACCGATTGAGCACTTCAACGCCCCCGGGATCGGTAGGGGATAGGAGTTCCGCTACTAGTCAAGGTAGGTCGATTGGCTAATTGGATTGATTGAATCATAAATAGCTATTAGAGGTCGCTAGTGCTATAAAACTTATGCGAGTGAGACTGCTAGGACATTTACGCAAAGAAAAAATTTCACATGCTGACCTGCGCTATGGTGGCTGCAAGCGCCAGAAAAAGAATAATAATAATAACGTTTATATTTACCTTACTGTAAATAAACGCTGGTGTATAGGATTCTTGCGTAAGTCAAGTTCTGTTCTAACTACACTGCGACAGAACTTGACCCAACAAACCATACTTAGTTGAACGTAATGACCTACAAATAAACGATATTATCATTACTTAAGAATCTTAATAGTTCTGGATCCACTGTTTTAGCCAAGTGTAAAAATGAACGAATCACAGGCCCTCAAACAGCGATTTCGTTTTAATGTGAATCGTGTGCAAAAAATTAGTTTTTATGTGCAGGTATTGTTAATTTAATAATTTGTTGGAACAGTAATTTTCTTGTATAAATATGGGGCTATTGGGATAGCGTGTTGCTATGGTTGTCGGGTCGCACAGTTATATACGACAAAAAAATGAATACGTAGCTTTTATACATTAACAGTTAAGTGACATTTTTGTTAGGTTAGTTTTGGTTAGTTATTATTTATGTCTATTGCGAATTCTGGTTGCACCGTACGGCGTCTTTCGCATCCAATCTTCCATCGACTTCTATGTTCCCAGTCACGATTTTTCATTGTCGGAAATACACCGTCTTTCCACGAAAGTCGCTACTTTCCCCATTTTGTTTCTTTGTTTCGTCTTTCAGCTTTCTTAATATATAGAAAGCATCGTCTTTGTCTTCAGAGAATATTAGTTAGTTGGTTAGTTTCTCAAATAGTATTCAGGGTGCTGTGCGCTGCGGTAGCAGCGACCAGGACCAAGAGCTTTTCCGTTTTGCAATATTTTACTGCATTCTCCACTCTACTTCTTCCACTATTTTTTTGGGACTTCCTGAATAAGGTGGGGATTTTTTAGCTGATAATTTTCTTTGAACTGCTTTCGATTGTCTTGTGGCAATTATCCGTGTATGTTTTCGGATTATGTACTTGCACGGTCTGTCAACTCTCTCATTTTTTCCGAGGTTTTTAATGATCTTCCACTCCTCCTTTGATGTTGTTCCACTAAACCCAGTCTGACGTAACTATCGAGCCAAATTCACTTTGCGCTTTTATTACCTCTTTCTTTGTTTGCCTATTCATTCTCACATAATATTTTCTGTCCTCGGTGTCCCTAGTGGACAGCTCTAGTTATGGTAAGCTTTCTTCTTCACAACTGTTTTTTCTGCTACTTCCTCATTTCGAGACTCTCATAAGCTGTTGCATGAAGCTTTCATAGCGTGCTGGTACATAATTTTGGGAATCCATAATTGATTTGTTTAAGCATCTCACTTCAGCATAGCTTACAAAAAATCCACAGAAGCGTTCTGCAACAGTAATAATTTATATTTAACGTCTTCTTTTGGACTACTTTCTGTAATTTGAGACATTAGTTTTGTTTTTTGCTAGGAAACAACTTTAATTTCATTAGGAAGTGGTCAGATCCATATTTAGCTCTCCTATATATCCTTTCAGTCTTTAACTTTCGATTTGTTGGTTGCTTCGTCTTCCTATTACATAATTGATTCAATTGACGTGTTTCTCAAATTTTGAGAACAATTGACTGACACTATAAGTCGTTCTCCGTTGACGTTTATAACGTTTATACATTATTCTGCCTTGCTGCCTATTCAACATGCCATTGAATTCTCCTAATATGTAGAGCTCCTTCCTCTTTCCGATTTGGTCTAGACGGTATGTTAACTGGTTACAGAAGTTAGTTTTCTCCTTTTCTGGAGCATTATCATTGCATGCGTTTATTGCAACAATGGTTGAAGCTCTTACCATATGAGTTTTCGGTATGGCAAGTCATACTTCTTTTTTTTGCTCTACAGTCTTTATTCACTCAGCTGTATATGTGCATATACTTTTGTATTTCTTCCATACATTTGCCTTTTTTTTTGTTTCTCATAGTTACACCATATCAAGTTTTGGTTAGTAGAGGCAGTTTATTTATTCACAATAATATTTGGTTTTCCAGGTCGTCGCCATTTATTCTTTTCCTCCTTTATCCGGGCTTACACCCGGCAGTTGCAGTTGATTTATTCAATCCACCCAGCCCTTTCCACAGTTGGTTAGTTTTTATTTGATAGTAAAAATTTTGTATTTAGTACGATTTGAACCCACTAGTGTCTATTTCTTCTAATCGTGTACATGACATGTTTTGTGTTGTGTGACGGTGACGAAAACGCGCAGGAGTAACGGCGTTGGAGACGCGAGGGTGGTAACGTTTTATAAACTTTGCTTTCATCTCTACTGCAGTGATTGGGAAATTGTTATTACATTTTATAGCAGTCTGTTTAGTCATTTTAATATAAACATGCCAACCGCTAACATGCCATAAATTGGTTGGTTAAATTATGTTTTCATTTGTTGTGTAATTCATAATGTTTTACTATAAATAAACGTATATATGAAGCTGTTGACGTTTATTTTCCATGGAAGAGGAAGTTTTTTGCAATGGAATTTGCATTACAAATTATTAGCCTCAAATAAAATAAATGAAGGACAAAAGAATTTTATTCTTCTCTATGCAAACGTTAACAATCTAACAGTCTAAGAGACCAATGTTGGCTTGAGTGCCTCAACAGCACATGTTTTTAAAAATTTCCATCTGTAGAGTGTCAAAAGCGGATCGCTCAAATCAGCGGCAAAAACCGCGGTGGCGGTGGTAATTAATTTCACTAAACTCAGGGTCGACCTTCTCTCTCTACTTGACCGTTTTCGGCAGATTGTTATAGACAAACTGCGGTTGTGTGCCGTTCCCGTGCGCGACTTTACGTTTATTATTGTTGTTATTCCGAATCGAACCGCTTGCGCGCTGGAAACGTGAATAATTGTGTTTACCTTTCCGATATGATCGAGATACGGGGCGGTCGCGTTTATCTTCTAACGCAGTCTCAGTAGTTTCGTGGTATTTTGATCGTGCAGGTCGCCCTTTCCCGGGAAATGAGCACGTTGCCGCGTATTCGCGTCGAATCTCGCGGCGGAAAACTGCATATAAAATGCGACACCCTTCCACGGAAAGCAAGGACTGTGGCGGCTGGGGCGATTAAGCGACGGGGGACGACGAAGAAACCAGTACCCAAAGTTTTGAAGTATTTAGGTCGGTATAACGATTCGGTGCGCGCATTATCTCGGCTTATCAGTTTCCTCCGGAATTGCTTTTTAATCGCGGTTTTTTATGCGTGACGTGGTGATGAAATTTTACTTCGAAGGTGTCTGATCCCATTTTGGTGGATTGTTATACTTCTTCTTCACTGCAAGTTTTAGGCATTTAGGCCGTAACGATACCCATATTTTTTTCGGCTTTCTGAATTGCATCTGACTTTGGCTAGTACCCGTGCTACGTGTTCTTTCCTGTTATTTTATTTTCCTTTATTTCCTCGTTTATATTAAAGCAGTTTGATTTCGTTCTTATATCTCTATTTCTTAGTCGGTACAGTTTCGTGCTATATTTCACTCTTGGAAATTTCATATATTTGTGCTTGTATTATACTTTGTTGCTTTTTCCTTGTAGTCCATGTTTCACTACCGTATAAAAATATTGGTGCAGCCATCGTCTCGTAAAATTTTATTTGTATCTTTTCTTGTTTTGTTATTTGATGGTCTGCTGATAGTTCCGCAAATATGTTTGAGTGAATTCATAGTCGGTACGCTTTGTGATGGCATAGTCGGCAATAAAATGCCAGACAGAATAAAATAGATTGTTCAGCTTGCTTCCACTTATATGCACCCTGTATAAATGTCCTTCACATCTCGTGGAACTTGAAAGTTACAGCAAACATCGGTAAATATCAAAATTTGCACAAATAATATCGTTGTCGAATGATATTTTTTCAAATATTTCGCGCCCTTTATAATTGACGAAACCTGAAATGGTCACGACACGGCTTACGATACTGTTCAAATAAAATTATCCCATCTTTAACGGTTTTTCATTAATATTGAAAAACAATAATTTAGCTAAAAAAACGGAAATTTTTAGGATATTTTAGATTTTTCTCCCATAAACGATACACCCTGTATATAATGCAATCATTGTTCGAAGTAGAGGTTCTGGATTTTCCACGCGTCCTGATTCAAGAACTTTTTGAAAATAGTAAATAGTTTTCGAGAAAATAAGTTTTTTCTGAAACCATGCAGTGCGCCGTAATAATCAATGACGTGATGGTGTCTTGACAGCCCAAGAAATAGCGATTTCAATATGATTTTTTTCAAATATCCCGAGCAGCGTATGTGATAGACGAAAAGCGCAAATACAAAAATTGTAGCTCTTGGATGCGGCCTATTTTTTTGCGATTCCTGATTTGCGGCTAATAATTTACTCTGCAAAAAAACAATTTTCTAGGTCTTTCAGATTTTTGTCTATAATCTGAAAACCCTATATATATATATATATATATATATATATATATATATATATATATATATATATATATATATGTATATATATATATATATATATATATATATATATATATATATATATATATATATATATATATATATATATATATATATATATATATATATATATATATATATATATATATATATATATATATATATATATATATATATATATATATATATATATATATATATATATATATATATATATATATATATATATATATATATATATATATATATATATATATATATATATATATATATATATATATATATATATATATATATATATATATATATATATATATATATATATATATATATATATATATATATATATATATATATATATATATATTCGAAAAAATGCCTGAAATAAATGTTTTTGCACTGGATCTTCTGCGCCTGCCGGTTAAATAATTTTGCCAATCGGATGAAGATTATGGAGGAAAAAAAATAA